TTTGTTCAAATGCATGGAAACATGGAAATCTCACTGCTTGTTGGTAAATAATACATTCGTCCCATCCCTGCAGCAAACCATACTGCAGTAGCACCTTAGAATACAGTAGTTTTTTTTTTGTAGAGAATGCTTTCTTTAAATTCTGCTTGAACATTGTAAATTAATTTTGCCCATCTGTTTGCTAAATATGTTTTTCTTTGTTTCCATTTAACCATCTCTGGCTTTAATAGATGTAATCATTTCAAACCAAGAGGCTGCATAAAAATTCTAAAAGTAGTACTGCTGGTAGCCTCAGCATTGCATCAGTATGGGGATGATTTGCTCTGATCTGTAAGATCTGGTCTGCAGAGAGGTGAACTGCACCACTGGACAATTTCGGAAGAATTTTGCCAGTAGAAAGGTGATTGCCTTTGAGGAGCACAGGAAGGAGCTGTTGATGTGAATGCAGCACTTACTCACTTTGCACTGGCCTGCCTTTGTGTACAGGGGTGGAGGACACTGCCGGCGGTGTGCAGAGCAGGACTGGGACTGGCTTTTGCTCTAGGGAAGGGAGGTGTCCAGCACAAATGCAGATGGAGTCATCAAGATCTCAGTGGGCAGTATGTTTTACATCTGCCCCACAGAGGTTGTCCAGATTTAGTGCTCTGAGAAGGATTTTTGGGGCTTTCCATAGTTTCCTGAGGTGGCAGCTCAGTAGGAGAATGGTTACCGAGTTTACTTGTGCTGAGAGCACCTCTGGTGACCCCTCCCTTGATTCACCCCAGGGATTTCAATGTCCATGTCTTCGACTACACTTGGAAGTTTTGCCTCTCAGATGTTTCTTCCATTTCTATGCCCTTACATATAGATCTTATAGATATTTTTGGGGCAGATACTTCCTTTCAGTCATCACAGCAACGACTGAGAATCCAAGCTAGGAGGTGCCCTTCCAGTTGACATTTGCTTTTATAAAGGGACACATCTGTAGAAAGCCATTTTGGTGTAGCTGTTTGCCCTGTGGTGATGACTCTCAGCTGGATTCCCTGAAGCACTCATCTGATCTGAAACAACATGAAGGAAGGAGTTAAGTTTTAGCTCTTTGCTCAAGGTAAATACTGGGAGCTTTTGTCCTTATGGGCAGGGATAGGAGAGGACATCTTGCATTCAACTGCTCAGTACTTGACTGTAAATTCTCTTCTTACTGAAACTGGTATCTGTTCCATGAGAATAAAATTGTGAAGTGGCCTACAGTGATAGAACAGCAAACAGGACTCATTTACTTTAACCCTGTCACACATTCTCATATATTCCCATAATGTGGTTTCAACAAATTATAATGAAGTTCCTTTATCTCATATGAAAAACTGTATGAGAAAATGCATTAAAAACTATAATAATAGGTATCAATTCAATGTCTTGCATATTCCAATATGCCAGTTTAAATATTTCATTACACAAGTACAAAATTTTAAAGGAAAATATTGATCTGCAGTGCTTAAGCATATCTACCCATTATATTCTGAGTGCTAAGCTGCATTGCTTCATATGTTTGTAAGAAACCTTCTTTTTAAAAACAGCCCAATAATTTGCCTACATTAGAAGACCAAATACTTATTTCATGATATTACAAGTATTTCTTTCAAAATTATCTTCAGAGCTGGCTTAGTTCTGCTGATCTGGAAGCTGGTAACACAGCAGAATATTAAGCTGACTGCTGGGCACTACTGAAGGTGCTGCCTGTGCCTGGATAAGAGCATTGAGGTTTGGTGAAACAGTACATGTACATGGCTTCAAGGAGCATGGAAACTAATACACAGGAGCAACCCTCAGGGCAATGGCTGCAGATTTATGAAGAGGCCGGAGCACAAGGAAAGAGAAACAACTACTCTCAGCTTTAATAATACTGCATTGACCTTCATGGAATTCAGGCATGTGAGCTAGACCAGCCTGCTGTGATCATGGGGAACCTCTGTTGTTTGCACCCCAGATGCATCATCAGTGGCTCAAACTAGTATTAAAATTCATTTGCAGCACATCTATTTCACTGTTAATGTCTAACATACTCCAGTGTAAATCAAAGCTGATTATAGTTCCTGTAGTCATCATTTTCTGTTTGAAGAAGGAAAGGCTGGATTAAATAAAAGCATATTTTTCTCATTCACATATGCACTTTTTATTCACCTCCTTTGGATTTCTTACTCTATTTCAAATTAGTTCTCTGAGTATCTCCCTTGTATTACACGAGGTTTATGTATTACTGCTTTTTAACAGCTTATTTTCTCTTTTAACACTCTCTTTCCCTCCCCCCGCCCTTTAATTTCTCATTCACATTCATCCACCTGGTGGGCCCTTTCTATGCTGTTAATCCCATTCTCTCTCTGTGTTCTTCCTGTAGCTATCCTCTTTCTGTCCTTCACTCAGTGTTCCTTCTCTTTCCCATCTGTCCAGGTGTCCTTTCCATGTGTTGTCTTCTCTCAAGTTTCATTTATCCTGGGACAGCACTAATTGGGAAATCAGGGCTGATAGTCTCCATTCAAGGTGTTTTTGTGATTGTGTCAGCGGAGAGATATGCTTAATATTTTTTTCCAAAATTAGCACTGTCATTTTCCTGCATTCCATCACTCATCTGGCTTCCTTTTATATATTTCCTATCAAGAGCTTCACTTTTATTTGAAAATATGGATCTTGGATTCTAAATTAATCTAAATTCTGCTACTTTCTGCCTCGAGACTTTTGAAGATATATGGTTTTGATTTCTCTTGCTTCTTTCTCCTTTCCCTCTCTGCTTTGTGACTTGAAAAAGAGTTAGAAGTCCTCCTTTTCCCCAGAAGTCCTCCTCTTTCTTCTCTATCCTAATTTTCCTTGCTATTTTCCATCTTCATTATTCCTCTATGTATTTATTCCCTTCTTAGTTATTTTCTTTCCCATTTTCCCAAATTTGTTAATCTTTGCTTCCTGTAATTTTTTCTTGCCCCTTTATCTTCTTTCTAGAATCTGAAATTATACCCTGCTCCCCGGAATCACTCCTTGCATTCTGCAATGCTTCTCCAAATCCATCAGTGATATTGCTGCACACCTGTGCATGCTTACTGACCCTCCAATCAATAACTGCTCTTCTTTTTTCTTTCTCCAAAACAATTGCTGCCTATGATGTGCTCTTTCCCTGTAAAATTGATTACTGCAATGCTGATAAGGAAATTACATTCATGTCAGGATCTAAACAAGTAGCATCTGCATCTGACTGGCTAAGAGGGGGGAGAAAAGCATGTTTGAGCTTTGATGTTCTTAATATATTACCTAGACTTTTGCAGCATCAATATAAGCAATAAACGGAGAGGCTGATTCTGTTATATGGCATCTTTTATTTTAAGTGTCTGATAAATGCACTCTACACAAGCAGTCAGAAGTGTTGGACTAAACTTTAGTGATGTGATATAAACTGGACATTATACACTGGGCATTACCTGTTATCAAAACCCTTTTTTAGGCATTCTATTTCTGTGATATAGCTAATAATATTTTAAACTTAGTATTCCTTGATAGTTTAAAATAAATTGTTTGTATTTTCTCTTTAAGCTGACAGTATTTGAACATATTATGATTTTCAGATATTTAATACTATTATGTATCTATGATCCAGTGGAGTCAGAAGAAAAACTTAAACACAGGCAGAACTAAAACTATTAAGGTTTCTCATCTCATCTGCTGTGTTTTGGGTTCTTGATTTAAATTAAAGGCAACTAGATATGAATTCATAGTACTACATTGTTGAGGGCACCACTAAACTAGAATCTTAAAGGCATTTCCTAATGCAGATTGGGCGTTTCTAAGAAATGTGAAAGGGTTCTGAGGACAGAGATGATTCTATGTACATTATATCAAGTCATCCATCATGATCATATGAATTCTTTTGAAATCTTTTTAAAGGAAGCTTACCTGTGCTCCTGAACTCCTCTTACAGTAATTTACATAGGAAAACAGTAGCATTAATGGGAAAAAAAAGCTGAAAAATGCCTCGGCCAAATAATCCAACTACAAAATGCCATGGAATAGTAGATGTTCTTTCTAAAATGCTCAAGTCAAAGATCTTTTATCTGTTAGGCCATGCTTACTCTCCTTTCATTGTTTTCACACTGGAGTTGTTGAGGATTTATTTTGCAAGTATGGACATTCTATATCAGTGTTGGAAACAATTTCCTATAAAACTATTTGGAAAAAGGATGGTTTTTGGAAGTGAGGCTTTTTGTACCTGTGCTTTTTAAAAATTCTTAACAGCTTTTTATTGTTTACAGTGTCTGGGCTTTACATTGGCAAAATTCTTCTATACTGATGTACCTTAAAACTTTAAAGTGTTAAGTTCACTGAACCTTAACTTTATTGAAAAATTCAATAGTGATTTACGGAACAAACTCCTGAAAAGAATAGATTTACATCCGTCAATATTAATGAAGATTGTGACAAATGATCTGTGGAAATTTCTTGTAGAAAGTCTGTAACTTTTTGCTCATGCTGATGTTAGCCTTCAGTTTTAAGTGCATTAATATTTAACTTGGGAGTTGTTTTTTCAAAGAACAGCATCTTATTCTGTTTGTTTTGCTTCATTAGAGGTCTAAAGTTAAATCAACTGTAAATGCTAATAATTCTTTTGGAAAGAAATGAGTGACCTGTAAAATATTCTTGATGCATATAACTGGCAGCAAGTTTTATTATGAAGCACAAGAATAAAATAATTTCAAATTTATTTAGCAATCTCAGGGTGGGGAATATTTTATTTATGGCTCATCTAGTTTGAGTTTTCTTTTAAAAATAAAGAGGTCTATTCAAAAAATTACTAAAAAATCCCTTCAACTTTTACACCATGCACCCTTGATCTTTGTAGTGCAGATGCTTTGCATAAAATGAATGCCAGTGTATGTTGCTGTTAAATCCTTGTTTTATATTTTTACAGTATTTCTATTTACAGTAGTTTGGTAGCCTTCATTGCACCAACCTTAATAATATCTCCATCTTCTTCCTTTCAGTGCTGAGCCCGAAGGTGATTGGCATTGCCATAGCCAGGTATGACTTCTGTGCACGAGACATGCGAGAACTGTCCTTGCTGAAAGGGGACGTGGTCAAAATTTATACCAAGATGAGTGCCAATGGCTGGTGGAGAGGTGAAGTAAATGGAAGGGTAAGACTATTTTTTTTTTCTTTTCCTGTGTTTCTTTCTGCCTTCACTGATAGTGATTTTGTTTTTTCTTTTTAAAAAGTGTGTTCCAACATTGTGTATTTAAATTCAAAAGATGGAACATGTTCTCATCTTTGTTTCATAGGAGCGAGGCAGAACTCTTGCCAGGAAGCTGTCCCAGCATATAAATTATTGGTTATTTAATGTGACCTGCCAGGCTGAATATTTGGGCAAGGTTATATAGTTGGAAAATAACCAGGATTAATAGCACTGCTACAGTTGACCTTTCTTGAACTGTTTTGCACAAGGAGTCAGGTTCCTGGTGCATGGAACTCTCTTTAGCACTTTACCACAGAATGATTTCCCACATCTTTCTGCCAGAATACAATGCAAGGAATCAACCATCTTTTTATAGAAGGCTGCTGCTTTGATCTCTGTGAATGTGGCCCAGATGAAGTGATACATTTAGCAGGGATTTTTATGAACTCACTTTACACCCTGCTCTGAAACTTGGAAGTGAAGTTTCAGTTTTGACCTATAAAGGGTTTACTGTTTCAATCTTAGTTTACTGCCTTATAATGCAGATTAGTCAGAAGCATTTGAGACTGCTGTTTCCATGTTTAAAGTTCTGAGATGCAGGGTCAAGGAATGTGAGGTAGAAGAATGTAAATTTTCTGGAAGCTGGAAATGATACTTGCAAGTGCAGTTGAAGTCAATGTCCAGATTTACTGCTTTGTGCAATTTGGAGCATCTTTTTCATTGTGTACATGAGCTTGGTTATGTTAAAGTTAAATGGTTAAATCTTATTAAATAGTCAATTGGACCAGAAGAAGTAGGGAAGCAGAAGAAATACCCATTGTGCTATATACATTTTACATGAGAAGAAAGCTGAACAACTCATTGTAATGCAGCTGCCCACATTTTAACACATGCCCTGTTACATGCTAGCGTTCCTTGGTAACTTTCAGAGTCTTGACATTATAAACTCGCCTCTGGAGATATTTTGGCAAGGTAGTCTAAAAATTTATGCAGTTACCCTTCTAGTCATGCTCTAGGTTTGGTTTTGAGTTCTTTCATGAATGTTAAATTGACTTGAGGAAAAAAGAAGTCTGAAGAAACCTAAAGCAAATACATAAAATAAGAAATATATGATATTACATCACTGTATGTCTTACAGAAACCTTATTTGGCACATCATTAATTTCAGAATGTAGATAACTCTATAACTTTTGAAGTGTAGGACACTAGACTCTGCTGTCTAATTGTGTCATGTGTAACACCTGTTTTGGTGGCAGTGGAATTCAGCTCCATGTAAAGCAATCAAATCAGTCAATGTTTCCTTTATAAGAAGATTCCCTGGACCTGACTGGAGCCTGTTAAAAGTTTAACTTCTCAATCAAAAAATAGTAAAATAAAAAAAAGTCTTGCCTGTAGTAAAACTGCTTCCACTCTTGGCATTTTCTGAACTTTTAGATTTCCAATCTGGACAAATATGTTTTAGATTTTTTTGGGGGAGGAAGTGGCAGAGAGGGTGTTGGTATTCAAACTGTCCTATCTGCATGTTATTCTTTTATTAAGAAATAAAAATAAATTTTTTTACTCTGTGTCAGGTCAGCCAACTTTATCTTTGTAATCTTTTTAATATACTTATTGAACAGACCCATCCTTATTGTGCCTAGCTCAGCCATTAAAAAAAAAACAAAAACCTTGTGCATCTCATGTATTATTTTGTTCTGCTTTTCCCCTTTTTAGGTGGGCTGGTTTCCATCAACTTATGTTGAAGAGGACGAATGAATTAAAAACTATCCTCTGCTGACCAGCAGTTTCAGGGATTGTAAAAATTTATATCTTCAATGTGTTATTGGTCTTGTTAAGTATTTAAACAGCAACATTTTTGCCTCTCTGAACCTTCCAGTCTTAATGTTGGGATTTATACAGAAGTTTGGGCTGACAGATTATTACCTTCCCCAGAGCTGTGCAAGAAACAAGCTGCCAGTTTGCCTTCACTGGGGATCAGTACAAAGTCCAACCCTCACCTTCCCAGAAGAATCTGGAAAACAAAATTCTTTGTTCCTTTTCATTTCACCCTGTACTACACCATGAGTACTAGCAATGGCTGAATATTAACGTTTCTCTTCTAGCTAACATCTGTGATGGTACAAGGAGATGAAGGCTTATTATTTCTTATCACTGCATGCAGAAAACAGATTTCAATCATTCCAGTGGGCATAAAGTATAGTCAGTAGACCTGTCTTGAGACATCAAACTACTTTACTTATCAACTTACAAACCATTTAGCACTCACAAAAACATTCTGCAGGAAATATGTAGTAAACAAGAGTAGCATTCATGCATATGTAATTACTTAACTGGCTACTTTGAGGTCATGCCTAGATCTTCTAATAATCTGTTTAAAGACATTCTAAAAAGGTGTAGTGATGTGGTATTGCTTTAAAAAGCATTCACAAAGTGGAATTGTGTGATCCTTTTATTGTCATCTTAAGCCATTTTATACGAGGTTTTTTCATTTAAGCAGCTGACAATAAAAGTGCAACTGGGGGATAGTCATGACAAGATGAGTTGAAAATTTTCAGCAATAACATTAAATAAATATTGCAGACCTATTCTGAAGCAGAAAATACTAATGCAAGATGATGTAATTATTAAAGTGTTTATCTTAACCTCTTGATTGATTTGGATGAGCTTTGATGCTTTCAGCTTAGTACTGTCTTTTCCTAGTTATACAGGAGTTTCTATCACCTTTTGTGACTGCAATGGAACTTGCAAACTTCTTTCTGCCCTTTCCTTTATTTTTGCCTGGGATGTTAATGGCAGTTCAATGAGGGAATTGTCTTGCTGCAGTCTTCTCAACATACCCAAATATGTCTAGGTTAGCCAGCATGAAAGATCAGGCCTTGTAAATTGATGTCCACTGCTTGGTAAGGCAGTCTTTACTGTAATTTTGAAGAGGTAGAAATGTAGTTACAAGCTAAAATAAATGTGGATGATGTTTTCAGATATGCAGTTCTAAATATTTAAGTAATGTCACTTGAAAACTTGAAAGAAAATCAGGTTCTTCAATGAATTTAATTAATCCTGTCCCACATCCTCTCTTTTGCTTTTTGCCTGTTCTCTTTTTCTGTTGGCATCTTAAATTTAGTGTGCACTGACACTGCACGATTTAACCCTGCAGTGTTTTCCCAGTCTACAAGCAACATAGTCTCCGCTATTTGTCCACAGAGCAGAATCTGCTAGAACATTCAGGTTTCTCTTTGGCTGCCCCCAGGATTCTTTGCTTCTTTCTGGCCTTTCCTGGCCATCAAGAAGAATCAAGCACAACACAGAGCATTCACAAAATCCCCTTCATATCTGAAACTGTCTTACCCACCGGCCACACCTGGCAGGCAGTGCTGTGTGACCGGGGAGAGAGGAGCTTCTTGTTAGAAATTTGAGAGATTCAGCCTTGCAGATGAAATTCTGCCAATGCTCTAACTTTTCAAGGATTTACCTCAAAATTATGTAAACTGTGATTGTGTTGAGTACATTACTTGATGGAGTAATTGAGAGCATTTGTAAATATGTAGATGATGCATAAAAAAATTTGTAAATTATGTGTACAGCAGTGTAGGCTAGAATATACAGTCTTGGATCATGTTTTGCCATGCAGTTTGATTGTCTGTTGTGAGCTTAATCCTATATTCCTTAAGTAGACAAAGATGATTCTTTCCCAGTTTTGCCTGCTTAAGGGATAGAGGAATAGGCTCTAAGTCTGTGAAGTGTTTAGTGCTTTACTGTCATATAGTTCTGAGAAGAGGCAGTTAAATTCAGTACGAGCTGCAAACTATATCAGTCATTTTCAACAGCTTGGCTTTAGAATAATTTTGAGTCTTCTCTCCATCCTAAACATGTTGTAAAGCTTTTAAGCAATTCCTGAGTCCAGTAGTCATCCTTTGAGAAGAATGAAAGCCATAGGTAAACTTTACTTTTGTGGTGTAAATCTGCATGTCATTGTCTGTGTTTAATGCCCTGTATTGATTGAGTTAATGCTGCATCTTAAACTATATTTTGAGTACCAAAGACTTCCTAAATATTCTGGAGCATTTCTTTCATGTGCTGCTTTTGCCTGTATGGAGTTATGTCATGCAATAATAGTTACAATACTTTAATTTGTACTATTTTGTAAATATGTTAAATATAATAAACTGGTTAATTTTTTTTGTTTGTTTAATGATGTGTCAAAATGTGTAGTTTGCTACTGTGAAGGTTGTGCTTCATTTGTCTCACCATCTTCTCATTGTGAGAAGTTGATAATGGTTTGTTTTGGTCTCCAAGACTTACATAATCCTTGTGTAGCTGTAAAACTGAGTTATCAATGTAAGTGTAAGCTTTCCTTGAGAACTTTTTATTATCAGGATAATATGCCTTGTGCCACATCCAGGAAGGTGCTGAGGCTTTTGTTTTGTGTGTGATTTTTTTTTTTTTTAATTTATTATTACATTTTTGGCTTTAGAGAATCAGTCATATACTATTGATTTTTGATACTTGTATTCTTTTTTGTTTAAAAAGAAGTTGTGCCTGAAAAGTTGAATGTGTAACTTGTCACAGCAACATCTGTTCTCTTCCACCTTCTTTTTTTCTTTCTCTTGCATATGTGAATTAACATATAACTTATGGCTGAATTGAGCTCAGGTCTGAAAATAGTCTGTGTCTGATTTCATGGACTATTTGATAACCTTTTTGTGATGTAGCCCATTCATGTATTTTTTACAATGTAACATTCATTATTCATGTGTTTATAAAAATATTTCTGTGCAGGTGAATTAACTCAGCAAGGACAGTGATGATTCAGTTGCAGTGGTGGTTTTTTGGTGTTTGTTTTTTTTTTTTTTTGGGTTTTTTTTTTTTTTTTTTGTGTCCCATTCATTTTTCAGTAAGATAGATTTTCTTGTGGAACTGCCCTTCTAACAGATAATTACTAAACCTAATGAGGCATTTACACATCACTGCAGATGTAAGGCATAATTTTCCTGTCACCCATGAACATATCACATAACGAAGAGTCACACCTAATGTGGGATGCAAAAATGTGTCCCAATTAAATGCTCTTGTTAACAGTATCACACTTGGTCACAGACATTCTCTCCTTTCCCTTGTATGTGAGATGTGTCCTCTGATGGGTGAGAAATTGAGAAAGCACTGTAATTAGGGCATAAGAACCACTTGTGGCTGTGTTCTCAATAGTTTTTTTTTTTCCCATTGCAAGGCTTGGAAGCTTGAAAATTCATCTTGACAATGAAAATTATGCCAACCAGGATTCCTTTCCCCTTTGCCTCACAGGCAAGCCTGAGGTGCTTTGTGAAGAAGAAGAAAAGGACAATTCTTGAGATTTTAGCCATTTATAAAGGTGAGACAGAGGTACATCTAGAAAGAGGTGGTGCTTGTTTATACAAAATGCCCAGCTTCAGACCCAGGTTTTGTTTGCTGACTTTAATGTTCAGTTCAAAACTATTTGTTGCTATTAATTCTTGTCTCCTTGCTGGAAACTGGGCTGCCAAGAGCTTTACATTACTATTTTGTCTGGCATTCAACTTATTCTCTTCAGAGCACTGCTTATTTCATTTGAGTGGCAGAGGAAGCACTCCCTCCTCTCCATTTTATTGCTGACCACAGCATTATATGGCAGTGTATTTTATGTATATATTATATATTATAAGGCAGAATATTTCTTTGGTTAGTTGGGGTCGTCTACTTCTCTGTGTCCTCCAAACTTCTGTTCACTGGGGGGTCATGGCACAGAGTTAGAGAAAGCTTTGATGCAGTGCAACGCTGTCCACCAAGAGCTGAACCCTCAGTCAGTTGTCAGCACTGTTTTTGCTGCAGATGTAAAATGTGAGGCTGAAAGAGCTGGGCTGATGGCAGTCAGCACCACCTGGGGCACACCAGTACAGGCATGAAGGGAGCTGCAGGCAGGGATGCTCTGTGTGTGTAATGCTCAGTCCTGTCCCAGGCTGCTACAAGGAGCAGGAGCCAAGCAGTGAAACATGCTGTGGGATTTCAGCTCTTTCCTCCATGTCCACTCTATGGAGGAGGGGTCCTTTTGGGTAATTAAGCTTCCTAAAGCTGTGAGATGAGATGTTAATCATATGCACTTTCTCACAAAATGCTGAAATGTATGATGCATATATAATTAGCAAAAAGAAATATAGAAAGGATTAAGCTCCAGAAATCGACTGCAGAAGGGTGATTCACTGCATTATCTCAGCAACTTCCTTTTGAAGAACAAAGAGCCGTTTGTTTTTATAGCAAATGAAATTTGGGTTTCTAATTTAGTTTTATAATTCCTTATCTGCTGTAGTGTTTTCTGCCCATTCATTATGAGGATCTCTGCTGCTTACATGACTGTGAAGTTAGATTTTATTTAATAAGCCTCCTGGAATATTTAAGTTATTGGTGATTTTTTTTGGTTCCAATTTTCTGCCTGATAAATCTGCTTTTTGGAAAATATGTGAGCTCATTATAAAAGGTTGCAATCTGACCTTAAGTAAACTTACAGGTACAAAAAATGGCAGTTTCAGATGTGGCTGTTTACCAAGGGGCATCAGGCTGGTTTGCTTCTTTCAGAGCTGATTTTTTTATATTGATAGTGTAATATGTGGTTTTGGGAAGGACAGAAATAGAGAAGACCAGAAAACAAGAAGTAAAAAGTTGATACCACACCATATATGTTAAAAACAACCTGGTATGTTCTAACTTTTCTAAATGATTAACCAACATATTATATGCCTCTTGATAGTGCTGATTTTGAAACAGAAATTCTCTTATGTCACCATGTGGGAAACCATTTGCCAAAGTGTTCCTAATCAAGGACTTTTGCACTTGTTCTGGGTCTTACCAGGTAACTCTAAATCTGTTTTTAATTAGTTGTTTTTTTTCCCAAAGCAATTGAAAGGTGTCCTCAAGGAGATGCAGTATTATTTCTAGGACTATAATTCTTACTTGTGCATAAAGCTAATGGAAATATAATTGAAGGAATCTTTTCTCTGGTAGTTTTACAATTAATGTCCTTATGGCCTGTAGCTATGAATCATGTGCAGTGTGCCAGAAGACCCCCACCCTACTCAGTTACATGGGTATGTACAAAGATCTTTTCTACTTCTTCTCCCTTCCCCGTTACAAAGTTCAGCTGAGGTGTGGTAGAAGTCCCACAAGTATTTACACCATTTGACTGGGGAGGAGAAAATTACAGGCAGATCATAAAAGCAGTCATGCCTGATTTTTGTTTTTGTAGCATTAATTTTTATTGTTCGGGAAAGGGTAGGATGGGACTTTTGTTAGCTTTTGTATCAACTGCTCTATTCCCAGGAACAATTCCAAGTAGAGGATGCAATGGTGGTTTTAGAGATTTATGGTTTTTGCAGTTGTGTTTTAATGTAAGCATGTGCATTGGCTCAGGTAAAGATGGAATTAGATGATTAAGAGGCCAGTTGATCTCCAAATCAGTATGGTAGGACATGGAAAATCAAACTAGAGAAATCTAAGCAAAGTCTAGATTCAGCTTCTCTGTCTTTGCAATTTTGATTCATGATTTAGGGGAACATGCCTTTTTTGGTAAATTCTCCTGAATATGGGAATGCAGGTTTAGTCTTCTTGTTACCAGAACTTGATTACAACTATTCAACTTTATACAGTAAGACCAGATGCACAAAATCCTTTTGATGTCTTCTCAGACAAGCTAGTAAACATTTTCTTTTATATATATCTACAGGTATAGAAAAGATTGCTATGGAAAATATTTGATCACAATTTTATTTTATTTGCTACACTAAAGAGCCACATGGCTTTAGAAAAAACAAATTTCCAAAAGCAGTGGTTCCCAGCCTGCACATTCTTCCCTTTCAAGTCACTGATGGCCTCAGTGTATCTCTAGGGAGTTCAGATCCCATGCTCATGGATGTCCTTTTCAAATGTACCCTTCCCCCAAAAAAATTTTTGACAAATCCTACTTGGTTGTGTCTAGAATAAATTTAAAATATTTTGAGGTGATATCATGCAAGCATGGGCTGTGAGTGGGCAAGAGGATTGGATCACCCAGATATTGATAAACTGGCAGTTTAGGAAAAAGTAAGCAATTAAATATCCATGAAGTTTTATTTGCATTTTTATTTATTTATTTTTATTGGGAAGAATTATCTGTACCAGTTAAGACTGGGCAACTTGTGGCTAAGCAGCAGTGCTGCTGAAAAGAGTAAAAGTGAACCATGGACAGAACAGAAGTTGACAGGATTTTACTGTGAAGAAGGTAAATACTGCATTGATGCCTAGTAATGGGAACATCATCTATAAAATGGGAGGTCAGAATTTAATTTCTGGTAAGGCTCCAGCTTAAGTTCTTTGTCCAGCTTTGGCCACTAAGCCCTGTATAGGATACAGGGAATAGGATACATTGAAAATATTCCTGGACAGACTTAATAAATGTGAAGAAATTGGAATTGTCTGAATGGAAGTATAGAAAAGGCTAAGGGGGGTGTGGCAACAGCATCCAAATGACGAAAAGATTTTACGTCGTTTAAGAGCCTGAACTCTTAGTTCAGTCCTAGTTAGTTCAGTGAATTAGTGTAAAAAGTAACAGAAAACATGCCTTGAATTAAACAAAGGGGTCTCAGTTTTTAGGAAAGTTTTCTGAATAACAAGCTACATAGACACAAAATTAACTGGGCAGTTGTGTTATCTCCAGCCTGGAGGTGTTTCAGATGTGGTTAGCTAAATGTCTCTCAGGGATAGTTGATGTGGAGTTAGAGATGCCCAAGATACACACCATGTGTTATTTGGAGCTCCTGCTGTACTTCCTTCCTGTAACTACCTTTGAGCTGTGTAGGGCTTCAGTTGGCTGCTGGTGTCTACCAAAATCTCATGGAAATGTTATACCAATATGTAGAGGAAAAGGTAAACGAAAAGTAAAAGGAACATCCACAGCAGTTGCTAAATATGCAGAGTTTGAATGTTTATGAATTAAAGCAGTTTCTTCAGGAGATGCAATTGGCTCATATTTAGCTCACAGTGTAAAAAAATGTTGTAAAACCACAGTTTTTAAGACTTCCTTCACAGTGGGAGGCATGAGCTAAAGAGCATTATTGCAGTTCACAAGTTTATTTTTGATAGAACATACTGCTGCTACAACATATGTAGGTTTGTAAAATCAAATCTTTTCTTAAATATGTATTGATTTTGGGAAAAGTTAACAAGAAAGGCAGCTAAGGTACCATGTCTTTCCACTTGGTTCTGAATTTATAGAACATGGCAGATGTGAGAAAGAAATAACTTTGCTTCAAGCATTCTTCTCTCAGATCATCAAAGACTACATTTTTGTAAAACAATACCAGTTCATTTAGTTCTCAGACAGAATTTGCAAAAGTGTTGCAATATTAAAATTTGTCCCT